CCGCCCCAAGAGCATCAGGTCTGATTCATTCAGCGCCGCTGCAAGCAGCATGCTGACGAGGTTTCTTTTCCTTCTATTTCATTTCCTTGCCTCTGAGGAAAAGGTAGCTTTTCAATGAAAAAAAACCTCAGACAAAATCCAACTCGGCGCTATTTTTTTTTTTTTCCAAGGAATGTAGCATCTTCTATTATGTAGCTTGCCACGTGCTAGCAACACACTCACTCTCTGCAATATCTAAGAGACTCCGGATCAACCGGAAACATCTGCCAGTCACTTCTCGTTTGTTCGTTCTCTGACACAAATCCTGCAACACTGAGCAAGCACTTCTGGTGGCCATTTTTCTTTTTTTTTTTTTTTTTTTTTTAAATTTTTTTTTCAGTAGCATGTAGCCTGTGACCAGTGACATTGCCAAAGCGAGAGAGAATGGAAAAAGGTGCACTGACCTCACCTACACGTACGCTGGTCTTATCCTCGTGTTTCACCACTGACCGTGGTCTTGTACAGCCAAAGCAAGACCCAAAATATAAACTCTGTGATGCCTCACGTGAAAATTCGAGTCAGGAGAAGGTGACCGATGGAGCAGGAGTACCGTGATGCTGGTTGATTGTCTGGCTCCCAGCCCCTTCCTCCCACGAGGGCCAGCTCGAGGTCCGGGATGCTCTCCTCGGGTCCGGGACGCTCTCCTCGATACTTGAATTTTGAGTAGGAGCAGAGGGTTTGCCGGACCCCGCGGCAGGATGCACCTTTCTCTAACTCTAGACTTGTTGGTACACTACAGGGGAACATCTCAACAGCATCTTCTGCTGATCTGGAATTAGGGTGACTGAGAGGGTACGAACAAAGGACTAGATGCTTTGAATTTATTATCAGGATGAGTGTTTTGGTTTTTTTGTTTGTATGTTTTGTTTGTTTGTTTTTAAAGCAGCATTTTGGTTCCCCCTGAGGGACCAGTTCTTGTAGCAAAACCGAGAATTACGGAAGCTTTTTTTGAAGGTGCCTAATGAAATTTGCTGAAAATACTCAGGGGAGACACCACTAGAAACTCTGGTTTCTTCGTAAAATATACTTAACACAATGACTGTCCTGAAGGATCAGTTTCCAAAAGAGAGAGAGAAAAAAAAAAACCCAACACACCAAAAGATGAGCAGTCTTGAGACTGGAAGAGGACAAAAGGTTAATGGGGAATTTTTACCGACGAGATGGCTCTGACCTTCAGTCTTTAACACAAATCAACCCACAGCACAGTTGGGATTTTTTACAATTATGTATTGGCAAAGCAGAGAATTTCACAATGCACAGAGCACAACAAAACCAACCTGTGGTTCTCCTGGTGATGCCAGGAAGGATGAACCAGCTCGAACCTGTTGCCACAGCGGAACAAAACCAAACCTGAAGGAAAAGACTGTTGCAATGAAGCTGTCCCCTCCACAAACCCAAAAGCGGGGGTCAGCAAAACCCCACTGCTCGGTGGCTGGTTTACCTGACACCGCCATGGTTTTAGCGACATCATGTCAAGGAATTTCAGCCGCTACTGTGGACTTTGGATCTTTACCGAACCAAAAGCACTGTAGACCTCTGAGAGTGGGCTGGATGCTGCTGAGCAGGGATGGAGACGGGTCTGCTTCAAGACCCCAATGCCTGCCTTGTAAAAGATGAAATCCTCGTCTGCTAGAGCGGTAAGTGCTTTTTCAAGCAAGACGTGCCAATTTCTGAGCTCGTGCTGAACGGCGACGCGTAGGACTGTGGGATGCACGAAGCGTCTCGAGCGGTTTGAGGAAGCAAACTCGGTGCCCTGACTGCTGAAACAGGAATAAACAGTGGTTTGAACATGACGTTCCTTCCAGAGCACGAAGCAGTTATAGGAGGTCAACAACGCCTGGATGAGGCTGAACTTTCTCTGCCCCGGCGTGCTGGATTTTTGAATATACGCAAGGGAAGGCACCTTAAGAGGAAAAGCTTTCTGCTCCTTCAAGCCAACATCATTTGCTTTTGCCTTACCAGCTCTATTTCAACAAATGTGTCCACAGGGAAGTGGAATAGCAGTGTGGGCAGAACAGGGAGCTCTGCAAGTATTTTCTGCTCACTGGTGTAGAGACAGCATCCCACCCCCTTCCCCTTCCAGCACAGAGCTGTAAATATCTCCAGCAAGTTGCAGAGCTTTTCTGCTCCCCCTCTCCATGAGCAACACACCACTTCTCTTGAGGTAGAGAGCAGAAGCGGATGAAGAGCAGCAGGAACACCGGGACAGCCGGGCACGCACCCGCAGCAGCTGATGCCTGAGGTCTAGCAGAAGGCTCACTGGTTCTGCGCCACTTGAAAGACCTGCCCTCGCTGGCACGTGGAAAATCCAGAGAAAAGAACCATCTTCTGGAAGACACACCTGGGTACTCCAGGGAACATGGAAAACCCAAATACTTTGGCTTATTTTTTATCAGCGATAGACTGAGGATGCATTGGAGGATAACGGCGTAGCTAACATCAGAACAAACGGCACCCCAGTTCTTTCTCAGCGGTGTATTCTCGTTTGCTGCAACGCAATGGGTTCGTGGGAACGATTCCTCTTGCTCGTTGAGAGCCCGGCAAGGTGGAGCCACCATGCCAGGCAAATGACTGTCACTCCCTAGAAAAACTGAAATCCATCAAAACCTTAACTTCTTCACTTTCAGCACTACGCGTCCAGTCCCCCCAGGGAGCTGGTACTCACTTCTCTGGGGAAGCATCTGGCTCAGGACCCACCTTACACTTCTGTGGAAAAAGTAAAATGGGAGAAGAGATGGAAGTGGGCCACGTTTACATTGCAACATCAGCTCCTTCTCATTTCTGAAATCGTGAGACCACATATCAGATGTTTTCCCTCCTCAAACAAGAACAACAAAAAAGCCAAGACACCCAGCTGCTTTCTACACACAACATGCCAGAAAACCCACAAGCTTCTGGACTCCAGGTTTTTTCTGGGGGAATGTTTTATTGCAAAGGGCATTTTTTTTTTTTTAATGTACTATATGATTTGCAACAGGTGGCTGCACTGACTAGCTATTACGTGTTAGATTTTTCCTCCCTTTCCTCCACCTTCCATCAGGAAAGGAAATTCAAACCATTTGACTTTCCAGATGTTTTCCCCTAGAAAGAGTAATGAAACTGAATCAGCTTTGCAGCCCGTTTTATACCCAGCGCTGCCAGCAGCAAGGAACAGCAAGTAGCACGCAGCACCCACCTGAGACACAGACGACCTTACTATAGCACAGCTGACAGTAGATGCTGGTGTCAGAATCAAGGCACCCTACTTGAGTAACAAGGATGGATTTTGCCAAAATAGCCTTGAAATGATACTTAAAACATCCCCTAAACTCTAGTGGGGAAAAAAAAAAAAAAGTCTCAGCCACGCAGCAAAGCACAGAAAACACTCCATGATTTCATGCCCAGGCCTAAGTTATCCCTGGCTTTTCTACAAGCCTGGAATGGGCTTTATTTGCCAAAGTTGAGTGACTGAAAAATTTGTAGGGCATCAGAAGGTGGGCCAGGCTTCTGGGCACAATCAGAAATTAGCTCCTGTTTCATCAACATCATAGTGTGCTGAAAGTGTGGGGAGAGGATGCTTAGACATAGCTTTCCTGAAATCAAGTGAGATACAGGACCAACTACCTGGCCAGCAATCAGAAACTAAACCTATTAAGTGGCTTTGGAAGAACGCCACAGACCAACTGAGACAGTGGCAAGTATTCCCTCCACAGCCACCTTTTCCAGCTCTTAAAGCCTTTCTCTCCAAAAGCGGTTACAGGTGTAGCTCTCCATTGCAAATATGAGACCAGAAATTCCTGCAGGAGTGGGATCAGCATTCCCTTCGAGGACAGGGACTTACTTCTGTTCACTGTCTTACACGACTGCTCTAGCAGCAATGAGACTTGAAAAGTGAAGCCTGTATTCGCACGTGTTTTACACATCGGTGCACGTGAGAGGAGCTAACGCGTTTAAATGCCTTTGCTTGTTTAAGTGAGCTTGCAAATACTCGGCAGCAGTGAGTACAGTGTAAGGGTCTTTACTGATATAAGGCCATTTATAAAAACAGCACCAGTGATGTTTTTTCAGGCATAAAGAGTCCACCTTCTATTTTCTTCCAGTTGACTCAGACACTTCTTCCCAGATTGATGCGAAACGCTTGGACAATGCGCATCTGTAAACTTTGTTAAGTGTGTGCATTTGGTTACCGATTTGGAAAATAACTGCATTTTAAAGGTGAAGGAACAGTGTTCAGGCACCGTTCTTCTTGATGGCTGAATTCAAAGTCAAAATGTGTTTTGCATCACAGATGGAAAAAGATATCAAGAGCTCTCTCTGCCTGCCTTTGGGTTCTCATGCCTCCAGACAGATCTGTAAAATTCCCTTCGGTGAAAGCAAGGTTTGCATCCCGTGATGTGCCAAAGGCATGAGGGCCTGCTCCAGTGTTTCTTTAGCAAAGCTGTTCCAACGGGAAGTCTTCCTTCTACTTCATGTTCACAAGCATAGAGAACACCCCAACCCTTGGCTGGTTGTTAGAGGTGTAAGAGTTATGTTTATGAGCTAAAAAGAAGGTTGAAAGGCTGCAGAAAAGACTTCCTATGGGGAAAAAAAAAGTGTCTGCAATAAGCATGGCTGGAATTGGTGGGGTAAAGATGTGCTACGTGTAACACAGCTGAAGTGGTTCAAAACAGACTCAGTGACCAGATGCGACAATAATGCTCACCTTAACTGAGCTGGTCCGTATTTGGGGAAGATGTAGGTTTTAAAAGTAGACTTGGAAAAATGTACAGTAAAGGGCCTAAGTGTTTGTCTTGCTGTCTAACCGCCACACTGTTTAACCCCGATCATCTGCCTCGGGCACAGGCACCAGAACGGAGCACAGTCGCCTCTAGGAATCCAGGAGAAAGCAGCGTGGTTTAGCAGCTGCCACCAAGACCCAAGCGCTGGTGTGACCACTGTGCCTGTCTGGACCTCTGATTATTGGTATACCTCATTTTTTTTTTTTCCCCCACCCCTTTTTCTTTTTTTTTTTTTAAGAACCAGAGCTTAGTGCACTCTTTCACATTCAGGTTATTTTTTGTTGTAACTGTGCAATGAAGAGCAATTATACGGGGTGTGCATTTACCACCTGCTCCCATGCTGGCTCCTGCGAGCCCAACCTCTGCTTCGTTTAGCACTTGCACTATTGATTGCTGAGCTAGAGGGCAAGGGAAGCAAGAGGCCAGAGTGCTTCCCTGGAGGGATGATTCGGCTGGACAGCAGGTACCCCCCGCTCATCTCTCCTCTTAAAAAGCATGTA